TGACACCCCCCCCCTAGATCCGCCCTTGCTTTCAGAGTTTTTGCGCTAAAAACTATTTCTGTTCTCTTGTCCACTGACATCTCTGCAAGCAATCTGCAAAACTTTTTAGGCATGATTTTTTTGATGAAAACATCATAAAACATATAAAAACCATTTTCATTATTTTTTTTTCCATAGGGGTGTTAACGTAAGGAAATGTTCTTACCAAAGCCAGAATCTTCATTATGAGGGGTAAGTCCAGATTTGCTCTACCTGAACCCATTTTTCGACTCGTAAATTACACTTTGAGGCACTTTTACCCACATCTGACACTGAGTTTTTCAACGCTCAGCTGGTGTCACATTATTTATTGAACTATTGACAACAATTTGAACGAAAATTTCATTTAGAATTAGGCAAGAAAACTGACGATAAGTTGGACTAATCAAAGGAGTTTTTTCGTATTGATCACCCATTGGTCGTGCTGATCGAAACGGGCATTACCAATAACTAAAGCCTTTCCGGATTTCATTATTTACAAGTGGAAGCACATTTTCAGGGGTTTACTGCAATGAAAAGCGCGCGCGATCCCGGTAGTAAAACGGAGTCGTAAAAACGCACAAACCAATTTAGCCGCACAGTCTGCTGCCACCTTAAGAAAATATGGCCCTACTGCCCCCTAAATAAGCTTAGACTCGGTTAATTTCTAGCTCTATAGACCCTTATTCTTCGGTTTATTGTTCTGCCCCTCACGTGGCTGTTAAAGGGATTACAACAATTGCGATGCCATTAAATTTTGCCATTGACCCTCGTATAACATTCATGCTGGACAAGGACCGGCAACTTTTCAATCGAATCGCCATGTTGCGCTCACTCTTATGCAAAGCGACAACCAGATTCGGGTTCGCTCGGCCTTGCTCGAATGACCAGCGATTTTACGGGGGTTACTTAAAAAATTTGCGCTAATCAACCCGTAGAATTTGTGCGGCAGATAAAATTTGAGAAAATATTTTCAGCGAATAAAACTAATCATTGCGAGAAACTGAGTGGTCAGCGACTATGCCGCGCGATTTCCATCCGAGGCAGGCTAATTTAAATAGAATTCGCAGCTGAAAGGGTTGGAGGCAGCTGAGCCTTTGTGTGAGGGAATAGAGCAGAATCGAGTAGAGGTAGAGTACAGTGCAAGTACAGGCCGGAATCTGAGATATTGATTGAGCAGCTCGGGCGATGTCCATTCTAGCAACCGCGCGTCTAAATTATGCGTGAGCTGAGTATATGCGTGGCAGGCGCGTCAAGGGGGCACGGGGCTAGAGGGGGCGGTCCGGGGGGAGTCTCTTGGACGCCCGCAGGACTTCGTGTTCTCGGCGTTCGCTATCCCGCAGTTTCTTGCTTCGGTCCATTTTAGAAGGGGAACAGGTCGGTATTGCCGATATGGAATAGCGCAAAAATCTCCTTAAATTCCCTAAGAAAAGCCATGGGGGCCAAGTCTGGAGGATATTGCTCATTTAACATTGATATAGATAAGGAATTTATTGTTTTTATTTGTCCTTGGCAAAATGTATGCCAAGGCTTAAAGCAGCAACAACGCTACACGTAAAAACTGATGATATTACGTATACGTATTTTAATTGATAAATAAAGGCAATAATCTTGGTCTATTGGTATTGGTATTAATTCAGCTTCTAATTTTGGATTTGGTGCTGTGCACTAATCACTGCAGCTGAATGAAATTCAGACAAATATAAATTGGGTCTAAATTTAAAATTAAATTAGTGAAATATCGGCGTTTGAGGCGTTTATTGTTTAGTTGGAAAGTCAAATTTGTCTTTGGAAATATTGCCATGCGAACAGGCGCTTGAGTGCCTACAAAGTTGCCCACAAAAGTGTCAACAATAGTCAAACTGAAATCGAACTGGGAAGTAAAGCAATGAATCATCGAAAGGGCGAACAAGCAAATCATTATATGGCTTCCTTTGAAGAACTTGCGTCACTGCAACATGAAAATGTGAACTGCTCAAATGAGCAGGGAAGTGGAAAATATTGCGAATCGGTCTGTTGTGGTCTTCAGAAAAACTTCTCAGTCAATTATAAGCTTGAATAAGGATACAGTATTTCGTTCAGAGGCCAGAAGAAACTGGACAAAGGAAATCTGTGAAAGTTTTGCGTGATAACCACGTCGATAAAAATCGACGTGGTTATTTAATTCACCACGTGTTTTTCACGTGAATATCCCATATGAAGCTAACTGGGATTGAGTTTCCAACTTCTTTCACTATGCCCATTCCTTGCATTCTCTAGGGTTGTTTTCCTGCAAACCAGTTCTTCCTACACTTTATTCGGGTGTGTTTTTCCGCATGCACTAAACAGGTCTGTTTCCCTAGCAGTTGCCCGATTGAGTTGTAGCAGGAAAATCGGCATATTCCTGGTCTGGAAACCGGCACCTGGCACCCTCCCGTCTTCCGCGCCTATCCAGGATTGAGGGCGCGTATTGAAATTGAATTCGCAGGCCGGCCGCCGGCATTTTCTCTGGCGTGTGTGAGTCCGCAGGGGTCACGTATGAGCAGGAATTTTAAACTCCTTCAACTACAGGGATGCATGAAAATTAGTCCATTAGGGAAGATCCCCGATGCGATAAGATGCTGGAGAGAATTGAGATTAAAATTCCGAATGAAGGGGGTTCCGAAAGCATAGAATGACCAATACTCCTGCTGACTTAGTTGGGCTCGTGGAGTTTTGGGGCCAAACATTGCTCACCCTCTGTTATCAACTTTGCCAACATCAAGATTTTCTCAGTTTTTTCTTCGCATTCCATTCTGTTTTAGGGATTTTTTTCTGAGTGAGTGTGCTAGTTGGTTTTTTGACTGTCTTCATGCATTCTTAGAAGAAAGGCGAAGCGGAAGGACGAAATCGTCTATTAATAAATGAAGCAAAGTGTTCGTTTATCGCTCGAAGAAGGCCCAAACAACTCAATCCGACTTGGCTAATTGATATATCGTGAATTTTTGATAAGTCATCAGATCGGCCGCTGGATGAGATTACCGACTGACACTGAAGTTGGACGGGCGAAACTGGGGGAAAATGTCAATCCGGCCTGTTGGCGCTAATTGCTCGACATTATAAATTCCTCCCGCTGCCTCATAAATAAGCTATTTTAATTAACCTGATTTGGTATTTATTGATTTTGCAATTTCACCGAATCCCTGTTCTGGAAGAGGTTGTTTTTGATGTTCTTTTTTCACTGGATTAACTCAGTCTTGGCAAAATGAAAGAGGTAGGGGCTGTCGCAGCCAGTTCTTGAAACTGGTGATTTTTTTGGGTTTTTAGGACGGCGTGAATTAGAATTTCAGTTTCGACGAGTTGAGACTGAAACTGAGTTATTTTCCTGACTGCGTGTAATTGTTATTATTTTTTTCTTTCATGGGGTTTAGTCAAAATCTGAAATAAAAATGTTCATATCGAAATTATTTCCCAGCAAAATGCTTCTCCATCACATTTTGCTGCCATTGTGAGCAGTTTTTGCATGAAAACTTACCCAACCAAGCCAGATAGGCAATAGGCAGGAGGGGATCCATTGAATGGCCTCCTAGCTCGCCAGACTCAACTCAACTAGATTTATTTTGTGCTGATCTGCTGAATTTACACATTACTTCTGGGCCTCACTGTATAAACGACACACAACTTTTACTTGGATTTTTCAATTGCAAAAGAACCTAAAAATTTACCCAGTAAACACAGTTCCATTTGCATGCTGTTAGATATGTTGACTTTTCACTCAGGTGCGCAACTTACCCTGTTGCAATTTTCCGCAGTTCGGCCTGTGTTTCCTCAAGCTTTTTAAAGACAACCGAACCAGTCAATTTTCACACCCTCATCAATATCCAGTAAAAAGCAAATTTCTCCAGGAAGCCTCGTCAATTCCATTGATGTTTATTACTAATAATATCGCAGTTATTTTTATCGGCGCACATTAAGTCTGTACACGCACCCAAATAAGTCTTCAGGCCCAATAACAATATCCATGTTCGACCCTCGTATATGGAAAAGTCATTTTCCCCGATGTTAACTGCCTGTAGCGTCTTAAGCATAGTTATTCCCGGATTTGGGTCCGGGAGACGATTTTTCCCGATCCCGTTAACCTATTAAGACGATATACTGCTAAGTGAATTTGCTAGTAAGTGGGGTAGCCTGAGTTGAGGTCAATTATTGTAAAATGCTCAAAAGCGTGGTCCGATTGATTGTTTTCTACTTGCTCTAGACACTTGCTTCCCTCTAATTTAAACTTAGCTATATCACATTTCGAGTCAACGTGATCAATAATTCCTATAGCAATTTCCCCATAAAGAAAACGTAAGTGGTCCGAAAGGAGCACGCTTAAATTGCCCCACTAATTGGGCCTTGCAGGGCCGTTCTTCAGGCCGAAATACTGGCCTTTGCGGAGGGCTCTTTAGGTTAGAGCCGATGGGAATTGCGAGCTTTATCATCTTAGGAACACATACTCCTGGGAAGTAAACTGGTAATTGATAACCGATGAGGACGGTTATATTCTATTAGAAAGCCGATTTGACATTAGACGAAGTGGACTTGGAGGCCTTTGAGGAGGTTCACTTTGGTTCACACTTTCTCTGGTTGCTTATCCTGCCCATAACCGATCTTAGCGGAAAATTCGGGACAAGTCCCCGTTCCTACCTCATATACATCACCTCATCTCATATGCATACGTATAAGCAAAGTAGCTCCATAGGCTCAGGCGTCCGTCACCTTCTGCGAGTGTCCTGCAAAGGGCTGAAGGGTGAGGGACGTCGCCAGCAGGATCAATACAGGCCCCCTCCCCACTGCCGCCCACACTTTACACTTCCCGCAGGACTTTCACTCTCCTTCGCGTGGACTTTCGCTTACGACCAACGAACTGCCACGGCTGGAATACCGTTGATTATTTATTGTTTAAAGTCGATTTTAAATTTTAAATTTGTCCTGCTTTGAGGCTGCGTGTATTCAACTTGTCTTCACTGTTTAATACTCAACACAATGTGTCCTAAATTGGATCTTTGCCACCAGGATCTGATGATTTTACGGAGCTAAAACAGACAAGAATGAGCAAAGGTGAAATAATCCAGATTTGTGATCTAATGGAAAATATCATGAGTTAGAAGCCTGAATATAACAAGCAGGCTACGCTATGTCAGGAGGGGAAAATACCAGGATCTTGCAAAGGCGTTTGACACCACACGCCAAGCAATATCAAGAAACAGTTGGAGATTCATTTTTGACCCCCAGCAGATGCTTTAATTCGTTTGAAATTGACCGTTTTTTGGAA